ATAGATTGATTAAATTAGCCCAATCAATCCGTTTAGTCAGCATGCGAATCATTTAATTACATATTAAGCGTTAAGCATGATCATTACTAACGAGTTACCATTTGCATACGTATAATTTAATCGTTAATAAATGTTATAATTTAATTTATACGGGGCAAAAGTCAAAGATCGTCGGTTTTAACTTTCCATTATCGCTTTGAAAGCGAGCAACGCGTGCGGCGATGCATTGCAATGCGTGCTTCAAATTATGTTAAATTTGAAAATGTCTTCAGAATTTATTAGAAATTAATGTGTTTTATGGGCAATTTCCGGTGATAACATATTGCTATAACTTATTATATTTATAATATATGCATTTTTTAGCTAAGTGGTGGCCAGGAGTCGTGACATGACGCGAGCAACGTGTCTCGATGGAAACAAGTGGACATTTAATCCAGCGTAATCAATTATACATGACAGTTCTAAGGCATAAATGGTTAACTTCATCTCTTCATGGTGTTTGGGCGGATTAAACAGGATCATGATCCATTAATCACGTTTATAGGCGCATGTTTAAGATACAACTCGCGAACGATTCCAATTAGGGATCATGATCTTCCATTCCGGCGATATAAATCAATTTATATGATTAGATATGAACGAGATGAAAAACTATATCTAGAAATTAATTAATTCTGATGCAATTAATGTTACGTTTAACGTTTCGTAACATATTGATTAATAATTTTACGAAGTAGAATTTAAATTAAAACCACAAAAATATTTGAACTCGTAAGATGAATTTGAACCCGGAATCATATCCAAATCGTGTTAATAATTTTGATCATTTAAACACTAATTTTTAAATGATGTCAAGAATTTATTTCGATTAAAACCATGCAAAATCCCTTAGAAATTGAGTATGGCACCCGGGTGCCATACTCAATTTTAATTGAATGGTTGTAATTGCGTAATTTTAATGCCGAGGATAGTGTTAATTGCATGGTTTTAATTTGGAAAATTTAGCATATATTCAAATAATAACGGGTGCCACACTCAAATAATAACAATAATTTTGATAAATTTTATTTAAATAAATATAGGAGTGGAGAAAGTTATCAAAAAGATTTATTTTTAATTCAAGTTTTCTCCCAAAATTTCTGTATAAACGTTATCGAAACAGTTAAAAAGAGATGAATAAAGGAGCCATTATCCTTGGCAGGATCACGTGAATTTTCTATTTTAGTTTATTAAGAGAGCAAGGAAGAAAGGAAGAAGAAGAAAGAAAAAATGGAAGCCGAAAACAAACAACGCAAATCTCTGACAATATGTTATTAATTTGCAATTTATTTTAAAATAAATAATCCAAGACTACCGAAGTGTACCCATTTTTCATTGATGCTATCTGGTGGGTGGATGAAAAGTTGTGGGAAGTTTAATCCTCGGGTCAACCTGTTATCTAAAATTGATAGACAGCTTGATCCACGGAGGGTCAAAGGTTATTTTTGTATCGTGCCGTATAATATAACAGTATTTTTCTATAAAAGAATCCGTATTTACGTACTTAAAAGGTGCAATGGCCGATTTTTGGGGTTTATCATCAATAAAGTCGGGTTCGTAACCTTTCCTGTTTTAAATAAAATTCTTAATTTTTTTTTTAAATTTTCCTTAGAGCATGTAATTACAATTATGATATCTGTTAGCGATCAGTCACGTCTTCGCTTCATTTCGAAAATTTATAAACGAGTAAGTCCGGTATATGTAGCGCGTAGTATAAGATAGGCGTATTTTTAGCCATTAACATGGCATATGACTAAGAAAATAGAAATTCCAAGAAAAAAACTAATTAATATAACAATTCAAATATGCATTTATCGCATCTAACAGCAAGTTGTATGAGAAAAACTGCTTCAATACAGTTTGTCTTTATGAAGTCCCTACAGACAGTTGTGCCAATCTCGGTAATGGCTTCCATTTTTACCCTGAATATCGAATTAATTAGCTCAATAAATTCTGTTTATATCCATATACAATTTCATTAAAGTGCAATATAAAAGATGGCTCTTACAAGCTGTAGAAAAAGTATTTTTCTGAAGGTTTATAAGGTATTTTTAGGGTCATTAGATACGTAGTAAATTTGTCATTTATCAGTTTGCAGCTTAAATTTCCTCCGTTACCCTTAAAGAGCAGTCCCTAAAAGAAGTTTTTAAACCTTTATATCAATTAAACAAGGAAAATATGAAGTAGGAAGTAAACATTTTTCGTTCTTAAAATAAAAAAAAAATATATATATTTTCTATTTGTAATTAAAGTAGATGATTGCATCTACGAAGGACACGACCCATATTAATTTCCGTTAAATGTGTTTTTAGCTACCGTAATTAGGAAGTTTACAGTTTGAAGAATTTATTAAATTATAAAGTTAGAATAAAACAAATTTAAAAAATAAACCAAAGTCCTCATAAGTGCATTCGTGTCTCGTTCGATCGCGGGTCTTTAATTTATACACGGAAAACACCTGTTCACATACAGTAAGTGGATCCAAATATTGACAAGAAACCAGCTGTGACGCTCTGCGGTTTATTGGAATTCACAATAAGTATCAAACTTTATATTGTGTGTAATTATATACATACACAGTATATAACCTTTTATTTTGCGTTTTAATTCTACTAAATCGTACTTGCTTGCTTTATCTTAATACAGAATTATTAAAAAAGTACTGTGTCACTACAGTTAAAACTTCTTCCATATTTGATTACCCCTCTTTTAACCTGGACTAACGAATATCAAATTGTATAATAAAGAAAATTATACATTTTAACCTTTACCTTTGTAAATAAAAAGTGTTAAAATGTCCTCCTATATTCCGGACGCCTTTTTAAGTTGGATTCTTAATTGGAATCAGTCATTAGAGTAACCGGGAGGCCCGATTTTTTTTACCAGGGACCAGGCCAAACGTAAGGGGGACCCGAGCCACCTTATATTTGTAAATAAATTTAGAAACATTAAGTACAGGAGAAGATTTGTACACTTATACATGCATATAACAGTTTGTTAGTGGTTACAGATACTAGTACAGGGATAAATATAGGCTTGAACGTTCTAACTTCTCCCAATATCGGTTCTAGTTTCACTACTGGAAGCAGTCAATATTTAAGGAAAGCGTAATTAAGTGTTTTAAAAACACAGTATTTGTCTTTAGTACATAATTAAAATTTTATATACTCTTCCTCAATCCTCTCCATCCTATATTTTAAGGAAGTACGAGTCCATCTTAAAAAGGTATTTACTATATTATGACATAATAATCGAGAATTAAAGTGCGTTGACGTCGCTAATAATAGAGAAATTGGTGACGTCCCTAAAAATAGAATAGAAAAATATTTATGACGACATTAAAAATTGTATATCGAAATGAATGATGTCACCGGAATGGATCGCAGTAACGGATGATGCGATTGGAAGTGAAATGGACGAAATGCGATGATGTCATCAAAAATACAGTAGTGAAATATGGTGACGTCAACCGTAATGCGTCGATGTCACTGGAAATTGTCTCGTGGTAATTGGTATACGAGGATTGATGACATAATTGAAATTGCCAATTGTAATCATGATCAATTGCATTAATAATTGATTAACGATCTTAATTATTTATGTGGCGCCGTAACGCTTTAACAAAGAACTGTTTATAAGCTAACACGAATAGTTTTTATCTGTAATTCTCGACAAACACAATTTGGAATAAATGCCAAATGATATCTACTTTCTTTATTCCCCCCTTCGCAAAGTATTTTTCAGAGACACACAGACTCTTTAATTTACAAAACAGTGGAGCCAATTGACCAGACGCAACCACACATTAAAAAAAGGGTTCAGACTCGTGTTTATGATAGACGGCGCCATTTGATTAGTTCCACAATAGTACTCTTTCTATAAACTATGGCTACAGATACTATCAGTAATGTTAACAGTATCAATTTTCACTTGCAGATAACCCGTATAATTAACGAGTATCGATTAACTTTGCACTAAATTCTTTCCTTATTATTCATTTCTTACTTTAAATTAATTTAAAAAATTTTAATATTTAAATTTCCTCTTCCATTTTTGCTAATTATTATATCAATACCACTAATAAAATGGAGTCTGTCTAAAGTGTCGCCATCTGTTATTAAAAAAATTATTTATTTTAAAATTTATTTTTTTAAGCCTNATTGTTATTAATAAACTACGTAAAAGAATACAGAAATCGACGAATCCAACATCTACATAAAAAGGATGCTGGTAGAATGGACGAAGAGATGAAGACAGGCCCTGAAAGATGGGATGAGACTAGAAGGCCCTAAGACCTAACACTTGCCTAACATACTGGTGGAGATAATTACGAAGAATTCTAAAATTCTACTAAAGAATCAGTACAATATGCATTCGCATACTAGTTTTGATTGGTACAATTTTCGTCGATGGATGAAATCTTCTTCCACCAACTCTTCACTCTTAGAGTTGTTCTATTATACACCATAAAACATAGTAGTTAACTACTCTACTAAAGTAATCTCAATCAATGTGAATGCTTCGTATTAAAAAATACATTAGCGTGCCATAACTTAATTTGCAGTCGATTAATTCGAAGGAAAACAATACAGAAAGCTTTGCAATTTTAATATTTTAATAGGCTATTTTTAGAAATAATCTATATTTAGAAAATGACTGTTGCTAAAAATAAAAATAATTCCACCTTATGCAAGTACATACGTCACAGTTGTCTAACACAATTCTGACGTACGTAGTTATGCAATGCCATAAAGCATTGCATACTATCTTTAGAAAAATCGATCCTGTGTTGAATGGTAATTTATGATTGACATGCTACTTATCTACTTTCTTTTGCAACTTATCTTGATGTTATTTACTTATTATTTAGGACACGGTTTCAGTTAATTCAATGTACATTTTAAATTTTTTATATTTTTTTAAATTTACAGTTTTTAATTTTAATAAAATCTTCCCTTCGTCGTTTATTGTTCTCCTTTTCTTTTAATTTAATAAATTTAAAATGTTCGGTTTTATTTAATGTTCACAATAGATGGTGCCACGCACACGCAACTAGAAAACTTCTCTCATAGATGGCGCCACCTATCACGCAGCTAAAGAAACGTATCTCCACTAGATGGCACCACGGAATCATGCTAGATTAAAGTAACGATCGATAACGATCATAGATGGCGCCACACAAGTATGGCAAATATAAAACGTTATCGATCATAGATGGCACCACTAACATGTAGAGAACGATGTCGCTCATAGATGGCGCCAGGTTAACCTACCTCTCACATCTGGCAAGTGATTTTTTTTCCTAAGGCATGTGCTGCACACACAGAAACACGTGACATGTATTTTTATATATATATATATGTACATAACTTTTTTTTTATTATTAAAAATTAAATTTTTTAAATGTCTCTATGGTCACTGGTATTTTGGATCTTGATTTGGTATATAACCTGGTGGCAAAGTCAGTTCATTGCTGGTCGTTGCTACAGCCCTCGTGGTCCTTATAGTAACGGGTTGAGTGGGTTCGTACGCTGGTGTTAAAGGTCTCATCGGTGTTGTTAGTCGAAGACTAGGAGTGCCCGGTACCACAACAGTTACTGTACCACCCGCTGGTTTCTTGTAGAAGATCACATCGGGTTGAATAATGCCTTGAGGATCTTGTGCTATGTAGATTTCGTCAGAATAAAAAAATGGTTGAAATTAATGCAATATTTCATAATCATATTTTAATTATGTATTTATATAGAAGATGCTACATAATCTCGTGTTAATTGTGAATGCTAGTGAAAAGACTTGTCAGTTTTGGAAATAGGTGGTTAGCCATAAACACCTATTTCCAAAATTGGCACACTGCCCTAGGGAACTCAAGATTGATTCCAAGCTAGCGGCTCCAAAGGAATTTTTTATGGGTGATATGGGTGATGGGTTTTATGGGTGGTTATGGGTGATGTGTTGAGTTAAGATGGTTCCCATTATGGGTCTGGCCAAATCTATGATGGTACGATTAAAAGGAACTAAGTGCCCATTGGACAGAGAGCCAAGACTGAAAAAGTACTCAGTATATTAATTACAACTTGAAAGTTTGGTTTTTGTGCCATCATTGGGATTTTGAATATTTACTTTATTTTACTATAAATATTTTTAAAAATAAGTTATAGGTTATAAACTAGTTAACATAATACAACTTTAAATGACATTCACGAAAGAAATTTCTATAGAAACTCAAAAAGATCATGAGAACTGAGGAATTTATAAAATTTTTTTTTTTTTTTTACAATTCTCTCATTGCACAGTCTGCTGGAAGCAACTAATTGTGCAATAACTGTAGTGAATACAATTCATTATGTAAATTGCAACTATTGCAATTAAATTATATAATTGTATCGCTCATTTCGTCCAGAATTAATGAAGATAATGGGATTAAACACGTTTAAATTCTGCTCTAGCAAATAGCGAAAAATTTATCAATTAATTCATTCTTATCTAAAATTTCGAATTATTTATTCCGCGCTAGAACTTAACGATGCAGCTTAACATCGTGTTAAACTAGAGTACAGGGCGGCTCAAAAGCCCGTTAACCGTATTTTTTTAAGATTAAAATCTGTGAAAATGTATCAGATTGTTACAATTTGTGTATTGAACAGGAAAGGGCTCATTTTGAATAATTTTTGGAAGCTGACGGGAACAATAAGTACCATTGTTCGGAAGTGGCTACTGTAAGGAATTGCTCTGATAGAGAGCAATCAATGAGAGTATAAGAAACCCTATTAATGTGATTATATGTAATCCATAAAGGTTTCTTTCTACAAAATACCTTGTTTAATTTGTGACTGATCGATGTAAATAGTATTATAAATGTTAACGATATTGATTTTACGCCTACTAACTTGGCTGACATTTGATGCGCCCATAGAAAATAACAACTTAATAAGAGTCGATAATAAAAATTGAAATGTTTATGCTGTACCTGTTTTTAATACGGCATTGGGTACCGGTTGCCAACATCTTATCATTGCAACTTTTCTCGGTTTTCGACAACACATGACGCAAATAACTATTAATGCTACAACCACGCAAATTACCACCAACAAGGCAATCCTGAAAGAAAGAAATCTAATAATTATTTATATTATTATTATTATTATTATTATTATTATTATTAAAATTTTAAATTGATGAAGTGACTTACCAAAAATACCAAGCCGAATAAAAGGGAGCCAGTGTGCCCTCACACTGCCAACTGGGAAAACCTGTACACGAAAAATATTCTGTATAAACATCGTGTGAAAATACTTACAAGATTACTATAGTAATAATGGAGAGTATACAATTCTAAATTGAGGAAACTTACAAGTGCAAAAATTTGTTTCATCCGCAGAACAGTAAGACACACAATTGATAAGAAGTAAAATAGAGACATTTTGAAAGAACTTGGAACCTCATTGTTATTAATAAACTACGTAAAAGAATACAGAAATCGACGAATCCAACATCTACATAAAAAGGATGCTGGTAGAATGGACGAAGAGATGAAGACAGGCCCTGAAAGATGGGATGAGACTAGAAGGCCCTAAGACCTAACACTTGCCTAACATACTGGTGGAGATAATTACGAAGAATTCTAAAATTCTACTAAAGAATCAGTACAATATGCATTCGCATACTAGTTTTGATTGGTACAATTTTCGTCGATGGATGAAATCTTCTTCCACCAACTCTTCACTCTTAGAGTTGTTCTATTATACACCATAAAACATAGTAGTTAACTACTCTACTAAAGTAATCTCAATCAATGTGAATGCTTCGTATTAAAAAATACATTAGCGTGCCATAACTTAATTTGCAGTCGATTAATTCGAAGGAAAACAATACAGAAAGCTTTGCAATTTTAATATTTTAATAGGCTATTTTTAGAAATAATCTATATTTAGAAAATGACTGTTGCTAAAAATAAAAATAATTCCACCTTATGCAACTACATACGTCACAGTTGTCTAACACAATTCTGACGTACGTAGTTATGCAATGCCATAAAGCATTGCATACTATCTTTAGAAAAATCGATCCTGTGTTGAATGGTAATTTATGATTGACATGCTACTTATCTACTTTCTTTTGCAACTTATCTTGATGTTATTTACTTATTATTTAGGACACGGTTTCTGAATTTACAGTTTTTATTCTAATTTTATTGTGTTATAAATAGATAACTCTGTGTTGTTTTATAAGATGCATCAGTGGCGCAGTTTATTCATCAAATGTCGTGACTGGACACCTATTGATCATGCGATACAAGTCTTTCCCATGAAACTAGGATAAAAAAATAGTAACTGAGTCATTAAAAATTCCGAACCTTGACACGAAAACGTAGTCACAATAATTCTATATAACTCAAATACATACAATTAGGGCCAACGATAAACGATTTTGAGCATTGTAAATGCTAGCAATCATCATAAATGTGATAAAATAAATTCGTACTTTCGAGAATTCTTTTTATAAAAATGATGCCAAGGATTATAATATATATATATTTCTATGAATTTCTTAACATGGGCGTAACCAAAGATTTAATGATTTTTAATTCTGTGAATCTCAAGAATATGTGAAAATACGGGCGTTCACACCAGTAACTTATATAAAGTTGCCGGTATTGTGCCTACTTTTAAACTAGAAATTTATTCAATATGTATATGACTAAACCTCGATATAACGCCCCTCTAAATACCTGATAAATATTAAATAGAAAGCTAACTTAAACTCAAACTTGTGTGTACACTTCCTTATTGTAGTATAGCCTACATAATTCCTATTATTTGAAGTACTGTATTTCGATTTAGCGCCGATTTCGGAGTTAAATTAAACGAAACGTGGCGATAAATCGAAGTTTTTGAAGGTAGTTTAACGTACTCGACATTAAGATTTCGACTCACGCTCAAGACGTGAGAGTTCATTCGACATTTAGCGTTGTAAAACATTTTATGTATTGATTTATTGCAAATAATTTAAGTAGTAAAAATAAAAGTATTTATAGCCTATAAGGAAAAGTATTGTAATCGTGTCAAATTTGACCCTCCGGCTTTTTGCAGATATCGACGTATCCCTGAACCATAAAAAGTGAAAAAAGGAAATAAACTCCCTGGATTTGTGTGTGTGTAGGTGTGTATGGGTGTGTGTGTTTGTGTGTGTGTGGGTATAAAGTTTAAGAAGCTAAGTTTGGCACGAAAATCTGTATATAAGAGGCACCGATGCTATTTAATTTTGGGATACGGAGCTCGAGATAGGGGTGTCACGTGTCATACTCCAGTGGTGTAAGATTTAATGAAATTTTACACGTTATTGGCATTAACAATATCATTAAAACTCATCTCTATATTCAAAATTAAGATTCTTTTAACGTTTTATAATAATTAATAATATAAAAGTTATTTTTTTAATAACGTCTCGTAACATAGGTACTAGATACGATTTTAACTTTGAGCTAGTGTCAGAGTGTTATTTTAAACTTAAATATTCTTTTAAATAGAGAGGTTTTTATTATAATTAAACAAAACTACTCCTTTTAAACTTTTGTTATTACTTAAATTTTATATCATAGTATAATTTGAAAATTGTCGGACTTCCTAATGGTTAACCTCCTGTTCGAAGGCCTGGAAAGTCGAACAAGAGCCCTTGCCAACTGTTTTTTTTTATTTATTTATTTTTGACTGTAAAAATTGCATAAATTAGATTAATTCGTGATTTATACAAGTATATTGTTAGATTAAATATTGGCTTTTAGTATGTTGTAAGGAGAGTGATTCTTGTTTGTTTATAAACTAAGTGTGTGATTATTTCTCACCTTTCTACATAGAAAAACTAAAAATTAGTTAAAGAAAAGGTCAAATATATGATAAATAAAGTAAATATAGACTTATTCGCATCTCACTGATCAGTAGTATATCGACTTATAGTTCTAAAATAGCAAAGAAATATATATATAAAGCAGTTCCATCAGTTTTCATTTGTAGAAACAAAATGCATCAATCATTTCCTACTAACAATGCTTTCCTACTAACTCCATACTTAGAGATTTTTAATAGTTCTGTAAATATTTAGAGCGTAACTAAAAGAATTTTACCTTTCACTTATTCTTTAACTAATTTTCTTTCCAATCAATTTATTTATTTTATTTTCCAATTTATATAAGTTTTTTACTTGTTCTTTATTTAACTTCTAATATGCTATTTGTGTTGTGGAAATAGAAATTCTTTTCAGTTCACGACGAATTATCTCTATAATTAGAGCCGAGTAACTGTTTTTACTTTCCTGGCTGTTATGTATATATAACATAGGGAAAGTACGGCGATCGGTCAATAAATAATCCCTTTCCAAGATTTTTACATTTTTGGACTCAGAGGACCTTGAAACGACGAGAAATGCAAGAAAGTTGGGAGATTATTCTTTATGTATGAGTATTAGGCCTGAGGGGAGGCACGATTTTTTCACTCGCTTTGAAGGTTAATAATTCCTGTGCCTTTTGTCAAAAATTTATGAAATTTTTTAGGAAGGTTTGCGTATTAGGGGAAAATATTTTTAGAAATTTTCGGGAAAATCGGACCGTTGGTTCGAGAGACATTGTCTCTTTAATATCTCCCGAACTAATCTGAAGACTTAAAGGTAGTTGTAGTAATTATTAGAGACGAAAACAAATAAAGAATGCCTGGAAAGTCTGTCAACAATGTTACCAACTTTTTAAAAAGTTTTTATTGATATTTTCGCGAATTTCACGTGTCATATGCGAACTTCTCTTTGTTTTCTCTTATCACCAATCTCCAACTTACTTCAATACTTTCTAGACTTATATCGATATCCCATTAACAATTTACTGATTTCCTATACCCATATTTTCTTTTCTTTTAGTATTTTAACCCTTACAAAGTTCATGCTAATGGAATCGATTTCATTAATTTTTTTACTGTTATGTCTTCATTTACTCTATTACATACCTAGCTTTAGTTGCAGTTTGCATATCCCTTCCTAATTTATGGTATTTTTAAGGAGACAATTCTCGCAATGGTCAACGATTGAAGTCCGATTCATTGACCCCCAGCGGACAACAATCCTTACAGATAAAAGAACAATCGATTATTGTTGTCCACTAGCACCTAAATCGATAGTAAGATCTATATCTAGCACGGTCACTCGCCAAATCTTTAGGCATTGTGTATCTTGTATATTCCTTACAGCTATGTCTTGGAGTTCAGTTTATAACTGCAATTTACATTAAAATAGTTGTAACCTCCAATAATGGCCATTATTAAACAGCGATAATTTTTTAAGAAGCTTTTTATAAACAAAAATTTTTTTGTTTATAAAAAGCTTCTTTTTTGTTAAATTTCTTGTTTATAAAAATGGCCGTTTTTACAAGGTTATTTACAAAATAATTTTGTAAAAACGGCCATTTTCATGTTCCCGTCAGTGGCCGTTATTTAGAGATTTGACCGAAATTTATTCGATTTTCTATTCATTTTTATTAAAATAAAATTCTGAATATTCTTGATTTATTTACACCAGACCCTATATTACGTGACTTATAATATTTGTTTTCCTGTAAACAATGACGTGTGCAGCATATCCTGTAATGTAACGTCATCGAAACCTTCAAAACACAATAGAAATTGAATTAATAATAGACTACTATCAATATATTTAACTGTTACGGTATATTTTTCTTCTTTTTCTGTTCGTGCTTCACCCTACTGACATTAAATATCTTCTCCCACTTATTTTTTATGAAAATTTTAGGGAATAAACCAAACTTCCAATTATATAACTGAGCCATTTTATACCTCCATTTACCCCTCTATAGCGCTAATAATTAATTAGATAATATTTACTATTAATCATTAACCTATATATTTAATTGCATTCCATTACGAGTAAGGTTAGTGCTCATGGACTTGTACTTTTTTGGAAATGGCCGAATCGAGAATTTAACTGCTCCCAATCGGCTTTAACTGTTCTTAAAAGAGGTGCATTTCGGTTAACTGACTTTTGGGCCAGCCTTTTGCTCATTTATGAGATAAAGCAACGCATCACATGAGTGAACTGCCAAAGGGGTGCCTCCCGAGGAGCACCCCCTTTGGAAGTTCACCCAAAACTCCAGCCTTTTGGTCAGGCACGAACCCGAGACCACGTTCGTGTAGAATATTATTATTTTTATTATATTTTTCTCATATAACAGATAAATATAGGATGACCCTAAAGGTATTTATCAGCCATAAACTCAATTATCTCCACAAACGGGAGAGTTTCATTTAGAAACTTTTCTGATACTTGGAAACTGTAACTCTTCAGTGGAGCTTTTGATCTATCCTATAAATGTATTTTTTTTTCCATTAAATTACATTAACGAAGCTTACTTCTCCAATGAAAACATGTTTTTTATGTCGAACGAATTATAGAAAATTGCTTTCGGTTGATTTAATTATAAAATATTGCACTTTCTTTATATCCTGAGAGGATTTTCCATAGTCTAGCCCCTATTTAGGTGATTCAAACGTAAAGAAAACCAGGAAAATTCCACGTGATCGGCCATGCGCGAACCCACGACCATCTACTAGTATGCCCACTCGGTTATTGGAGGGCACACTAAATTTATATAAGCGCTTTTTGATATAATGGAGAACGATGATAATGCCTTCCATTCTTGGTTTTTCTTCTTGTTTTTAGGAATTGTTTTAATGATAAATTTTGTTTATATGCATTCAGTTAATGCATTCAGTTGCTATCCTATGTTATACAATTATTCAGTTGTAATAAATAAATTAATTTCAGGATTAATAGTAAAAGTTTACTCATGACAATATCTTCTCTTAAGATAATCCATTGATGACCGAATGGATAAAACTACCGAACACTAATAATAGTTGATCGCGGGTCCTGAGCCTGCCCACGTGGACTTTTTCGAGTTTATTCACGTGTCTAGTCCACTCGAGAGATGTTTTTTCCTTGGCACTTACACCATTAATCCACTCCAATCTGAAACCACCGAACACACTGAGGGTTAGTCGCGGGTTCGCACCGTAAAAGAGCCGGTCACGTAAGAAAACTTCCGTAAAAAACCCCAAAATATGACAAAAAAAACAAGCATTGTTTCAAATTCACTAAGAGTGGAACACGGTTAAACGACTTTTGGGCCACCCTCTACAAATTGTTTAATATACGCTTTAAGAAAATCGAAATTCTTTTCTTATTATTATGAAATGTAAAAATTTATTTAGAATTATTAATATTTTTTTTAATATTAAAAATTATAAATGTACTGTACCACATGTAATTTTTAAAGCTGCTGTCGTGACATTCTAGTTCCTAACCAATCATGCCACGCTTTAGTTTAAAGCTTCCATGCTATATTTGTAAAGTGTCCATTAGATTATTATTGCATTTTAAATGAGCATTTTATTTAATTTTTATTTATTTTTTCGTTGTATGTTTGTAAGCAAGTTCCACGACATTAATTTAAAATGAATGCAAAAATCGAAATGGCGTGGTACAAAACTCTTTAAATTTAATCTTCTCTGGCATCTATCGATAGAAAATTATGAATTTAATTAATAAATAAACATTAAAATTACTGTATATTTGGGCCCAGATAAGTAGAACCTCGCTTCATCAATCAGCCACCCCCTTGAAGATTCGGTGTTAAGAATAGGAAAAATCCAAGACGGTTTCTGATTTTTCGTGTTAAATTTTAAATGGAATCAACTCACGAGTCAATATACAAATAATTTTTAAGAAAATAATCTAATTTTATTAATTTTTAGGCCCATTTTTTCACTCGCTCTTTAAAAACTGTCCTCGTTTACTTCGCTTACATGCTACCTTTCTATAATAAATTTTAATATAAAAATATTCTTCTGTAGTAGCTAATATTTTACTTTTGAGAAGTTTTAAATAACCCCTTGTCACAATAACTC